ATTTCTTCTTTGTTTCCTTTCTCCGTTCCTTCTCATTTTTATTTTTCTTACTTTCATTCCTCGTTGCTTCCTTTATCACTCTCATGCCTTCTTTTTTCATTTACCTCTTTCTCAAACCCCACCCCCGCCTTTCTCCCTGTATTTACTACTATGAGCTCCACAACAGATCGCTCTCCAAATTCTCTGTACGTTATGAAGTAAAACCTGTGTTTTATGCCGCCTTTACTAAAGTAATTTACTATTTTTTCCTTTTTTTGGTTTTTGCTTTTGGTACTGGGAATCAAACTTATTTAGGACCTTGTGCATGCCAGGCAGGTGTTGTGCCCCTGAGCTATATCCCAGCCCCTTACTGAGGTAATTTATTTACTGTTTGATTCATTCACTTAAAAATATATATTCAAAACCTAGTCCATTTAGAATATTTTATTTAGCTTGTAAAGTAACCTTGCCTCCTTATTTCTCATATTTCTCCAAACCGTCTGTTTGTTTTTCTTTTTGAGACAGGGTCTTGCTATGCAGTTCAGGCTGGCTTTGAGCTCACTTTGTAGCCCAGGCTGGGCTCAGACTCACAATGATCCTCCTGTCTCAGCTTCCCAAGTGCTGGGATTACAGGGATTAGAGCTCTTCAAGCCATCTGAACTGCTAACTGCGGTATACAGCTGCTTGCCTAATATTGATGTAATACTGAAACAAGGGATGTAGCAAGTACTTATTATCAGGAATCATTAACTTTAGTTACCTATAACTGACTATAAGAAAACAGAGGCATTCCTGGAAGGAGTAGGAGTAAGGTTCAGGGTGTTCTGGTCATCTGCCTACTTGTTTGTTACGTAGTTCAGGATTACCTGACTGATAGTACTGGTTATAGTACAACTTTGAACTGTTGCTTATCTGTGGTGAGGCTGTGGGCCTGGCCGTCATGTCTCCCATCTTGCAGCCTGCTTTCAACCACAGACTCAGTTCCCCTCATCTCAGAATTGGCTCAGTCTTAGGCCTGGACCCTCTCCTACTGCCTATCTACCTAACCTACCTAAATTAGCTAACAGATTTTTTGTAGACTTAGTTTTCACAACTGTAGTGTATGTAACTAAAAGTTATTAATGAGTAGTATGTAAACAATTATGGTTATATATGGATTGTTCCATCCAAAATTGATGGTGATATCAAATTCACACTGGTGTAGACAAATCTAGTTGTATGTTCTAATAGGTGAAGGTGTTCTCTGAGTAAATATAGTCAGTTGGGTTACATAGGAGGCAGTTAGAAGTAGATAAGTTTTTTTTTTTTTTTGAGTCACTATGCTTGAATACAGGATTTGAAACAGAGAGAGAGAAGAGTACCTGCGCACTCTTAGAATCTCCTTATGTGATGCCCTGTACTTTCTCCCTGACTCCTGGCTCCTTGGCAAACTTTGTATTGTTGCTGGCTCCAGGCTTACAGTATGAAAGAGGAGGCTTGAGCCTACAGAGGTGCAGTGGTGGTAGGGGACCCTGGAGACCTCCAGGGAGAAATGCATGAGTAGAGTGGAGTTGTGTATGCTGATGACTGCATTGGCCGGTAAGTGACTCCATTCTAAACATCCCCAGAAGAGGGTGATTGACTGGACGCCATTTTCGGGTGGGGTCAGCTAAACAAGGAACTCCAAGTAGCCATGGGCTGGCTCCTTTCCTGGGCTACCAGTGAATGGCTGATGCACAGCCCTGATAGACACAAAGGTTGTGGAGCCAAAATCAAGCCAGCAAGAAACACTGATAGAATTGTTGGCTAAATAATTCAGATCACAGGCTGAAAGCCAGATACCAGGATCAACCTGAACTTCTGTGGAGTTGAACCTGCACCCCACCTTATTCCTACTGAGGGCTTGCTGTGATTATGTAGCACCTCTCCCTGATCCTACTGCAGGCTGCCTGGGATCATACAGTATAGGTCTGGGCTCTGCCCACCGGTGACAGCAGAACCGTACTCTGAAGTAGGCACTACCACAAAACTGTAGACCCCAAGAGAGAACCATAGGCTTGAAATCAAAGAGAATCTCTTTTTGTTTTTTGTTTCTTGTGCTGTTGTTGCTCTTTGGTGGTATTTGTGTGTGTGAGTATGAACATTGTTTTTAGAATTTTGGTTTTGTTTGATTCTTGTTTTTGTTTCTTCTGATTTCCTCCAGTCTTCTTCACCACTCTTCAAAAGCTTAAGTAATCTTCTTTTGTCCTTAAACCTTGTCCTAATCTCTTTTTCTCCTTCTATTTCTCTATTCTTTTTCTCCTATATTCTAAGTTTTCTCAGTACAGTCATCCCTCACTATATTGTGGTTCACTTATTACGGCTTCAGTGTATCATAGGTTTTTAAAAGAAATATATTTGATTCTGTATTACAGAGTTTTCACTACATCATGGGATTTTGTGGTATATGGGTATTTATATAATATTTATGATTTTAATTACTTTTGCCTAAAAATTTTTTAAAAATATAAAAATATAAAAATGTTAACTCAAACATTTTGAAACATTATTAAATTGAAATAAAATATAGTATGTATTTCATCAGCAGATTAGTAGCATACTGTACACAATGGAAATGCAGTACACCACTACTGCTTGTGCAAGTTTGCCAATGTGAGATTGCACAGTATTGGCTGATGGAATGGAAGGTGACCAACCACAGCATCGTGTTCTGCATCATGGGCGCTGTTTGCCTCAGTAACCACAGCATCGGTCTCTTTGCTTGCCTGCACTATGTCCATACATTCAGCCTCTCTCTTTGTCCACTTCACATTAAGTATCCATATAGAATTTTACATGTTGTTAAAATCATGTAGGTTTAAGAGTATAGAAAGTGTTTAAGAGCATATGAAGTGTTGGAATATTGGAATAGATTGTCTTTATCTCAATCTGATAAAAGCCATCTGTGACAAACCAACTGGCAACGTCATACTTAATGGTCAAAAACTGAAGGCTTTTGCTCTAAAAATCACAAAAAAAACCCCAGGGATGTCCACTATCACCACTGTTATTCAATGGAGTTCAATAATGTTTAACTCTGGAAACATTAGCCACAGGAATTAGATAAAAGAAAGAAAAGGAATAAGGATAGGAGAGGAAGAAGTTAAATTATCCAGATTTGCAGGTAGAAGATCCAAAACACTTCACCAAAAAACTTTTACATTTAATAAGCAAATTCAATAGTGTACCTGGATGCAAAGTCAACACTCAAAAATCAATAACATTTCTATACACAAACTAAGAAACTCCCTGAGAAGGAAATTTAGGAAGCCATACATTTCATAGCAGCATCCAAAAAATGAAATATTTAGGAATCCATCTAATGAAGGAAGTAAAAGACCTTTTCATTAAAAATTACATTACTAAAAAAAAAAAAAAAAAAAAAATTAAAGGAGCTGGGGATTTAGCTCAGCGGCAAAAGCGCCTGCCTGGCAAGCGCAAGGTCGTGACTTCGGTTCCCAGTACCGGAGAAAAACCAAAAAAAAAAAAAAAATTACATTACTCTGAATGAGATCAAAAAGAGTATCAGAAAATGGAATGATATGCCTTATTCTTGAATAAGAAGAACCAATATAAGGGCTGGAGATTTAGCTCAGCGGCAAAAGCGCCTGCCTGGCAAGCGCAAGGTCATGAGTTCGGTTCCTGGTACCGGAGAAAAACCCAAAAAAAAAAAAAAAGAAGAACCAATATAGTATAAATGGCCTTAGTTCCAAAATTATTGTTAGGATTAATGCAATCCTGATCAAAATATCAATAGCATACCTCACAGAATTAGAGAAAACAATACTAAAATTTATTTGGAACTAGAAGAGACCTAAAATAGCAAAAGAAATTCTGGACAAAAAAGACAAGGCAGGGGGCATCACAATCCCTGACTTGAAATTATACTTCAAAGCTACTGTTATTAAAAAATGGTATGGTACTGGCAAAAAAAAAAAAAAAAAAAGACCAGAGGATTAATGGAACGAATTGGAAGATGCAGACACAACTCCAAACATACTTAGCCACCTTATCTTTGCCAAACAGACCAAACATCTTCTCTGGAAGAAAAATAATCTCTTTAACAAATAGTGCTGCAGTGGCTTTCTGCACATTGAAGATTAAACCTAGACCAATATCTCTCAACATTGGATGAACTAAAATCAAAATGGGTCGAAGATCTAAATATTAAAACAGAAACACTAACTTTGCTGGGGCACAGAATAGGTACAACTCTTGAAGGCACTGGTGTAGGCAAAGACTTTATGAACAAAATCCCAATCACACAGGAATTATCACGATGAATCAGTAACTGGAATCTCATCATGAAAAAGCTTTTGCACAATAAAAACCACCAACAGAGTGAAGAGACAAGCCACAGTGGAAAGAATTTTTGCCAGCTCTTCCTCAGATAAAGAACTATGAAATTGAGGATCTAATTAAAAACCTACCAGCAAAGAAAATCCCAGATCCTCACATACTCACTGCTGAAATTCTACAAGAAATCACAGATCTACTATAGTGCTAATATCTACAACATAGAAAGACTCCCTCCCCACAAATTTAAAGACCCAGTCTAAAAATGGACATCTGAAATGAATACTTCTCAAATGAAGAAGTACAAATGCAAATAAATATTTGAAAAAAAAAATGTTCAATATCACTGGTTATTCAAGAGATGCAAATTAAAACAATACTGAGATTCCATCTCCAGAAAGAATGGCTCTTTATTAAGAAATCAGCCAGTAATGAGTGTTGGAGACAGCCTGCATACACATCAACAGATGAAAGGATAAAGATGATGTGGGAGATTTTAAAATGTAATTCAATACTACTGTGTCATAAGGACACACCTGAGACATTTCCAGGTAGATAGATGCACTTTGAGACCATACTTTTGAGTGAAATAACTTGGACACATGTTTCAATGTTGCAGTGTTTTTCTGGTATCAGAAACTGAAAGGGTAAATAAGGACCAAAATATATATTAGATGTCAAAGAATAGGAAGAAAATGTTCAAATGTGAAGGAGAACAAGGGGAAAGGAAGGAAGAGAAAACAAAACAACAACAACAACAAAAATAAAAGGAAAAACTGGAAACCAAGCCTTTGTAAATAAGTAGGACAAGAGAGGATGTGAGGATGGGGAGATTGGTGAAAATAAGAATCAGCGTATGTGCAGGCAGAAACTCTGTGTGATGAATGTGACCATTATGCACATCTAAAATGTACCAATGAAATTAATTGCAAGAGAAGAACAAAGCAAAGAAGACATTAGCATATCTACCCTTCTAAAAATTAAGTTGAGGCCTTGGGTGTAACTTGGTTAGAGATCGCTTTTGTAGTACTGTGTATTTTAAAAATCTGGTTTAAAATACAGTAGTACAAAAAAAGAAATAAAAGAAAATGAAATATAGTTAAGTAGGTGTTAAATTGTGCTACATTCAGAATCAAGAAAAGATACCTGTATTTCCCATTGAATTATTCTCAATAGCCAAGGTGGAAAGCAGCCTAAATCCACTTTGGTGGTTCTGTGAGTTTATTTTCACTTACTATGAAAAATCACTTGTGGCTCTCGTGCGGGTCACGTGAGGGCCCTGGCGGCGTCTTCAGCGGCTCCTAGTGCAGGATGGTGCTGGAGGCGGCGCGTTCCTGGCGGCGGCGGGAGGAGGAGCAGTGGCGGCAGCGTGCCCGCGGGCGGTATCAAATGTCGGATTTCGAAGAGTTGAGGTGCTTCCTCATGTCGCGGAGAGAAAGCGTGGTCTTTTGGGAACATTGCCTTCAATCTTCGGCCTTAAACCTTGGTGTTTTCTTAGTGGCAGGAATATGGTTTCTAGTTTTAGAGTTTCTGAACTACAAGTATTGCTAGGCTTTGCTGGACGGAATAAAAGTGGACGCAAGCATGACCTCCTGATGAGGGCCCTGCATTTATTGAAGAGCGGCTGCAGCCCTGTGGTTCAGATTAAAATCCGAGAATTATGTAGACGCCGATATCCACGGACTCTTGAAGGGCTCTCTTCTGATTTATCTAGAATCACATCATCAGTTTTCAGTTTGGATGGTAGCTCATCAGCTGTAGAACCAGATGCGGCTGTGGCTGGAATCCACCCGTTGCCTTCCACTTCAGTAACATCTCTCTCACCGTCCTCTCCTGTTGGTTCTGTGCTACTTCAAGATACTAAGCCCACTTTTGAGATGCAGCAACCATCTCCTCCAGTTCCTCCTGTCCATCCTGATGTGCAGTTAAAAAACCTGCCTTTTTATGATGTCGTTGATGTTCTCATCAAGCCCACAAGTTTAGTTCAAAGCAGTATTCAACGATTTCAAGAGAAATTCTTTATTTTTGCTCTGACACCTCAGTAGGTTAGAGAAATATGCATATCGAGGGACTTTTTGCCAGGGGGTCGGAGAGATTATACAGTTCAAGTTCAGCTGAGACTTTGCCTGGCAGAGACAAGTTGTCCTCAAGAACATAACTATCCCAATAGTCTGTGTGTAACAGTAAATAGGAAGCTGTTTCCTTTGCCTGGCTATGCACCACCACCTAAAAATGGGATTGAGCAGAAGCGCCCTGGACACCCCCTTAAATATTACATCTTTAGTTAGATTGTCTTCAGCTATGCCAAACCAGATTTCTATTTCTTGGGCGTCTGAAATTGAAAAGAATCATTCCATGTCTGTATATCTTGTATGACAACTGACATCAGCCATGTTATTACAGAGATTAAAAATGAAAGGTATTAGAAATCCTGATCATTCCAGAGCACTAATTAAAGAAAAACTTACTGCAGATCCTGATACTGAAATTGCTACAACTAGTCTTCGAGTGTCCTTGACGTGCCCTCTAGGGAAAATGAGACTAACAGTCCCGTGCCGTGCAGTGACGTGTACACATCTGCAGTGTTTGGATGCTGCCCTTCATCTACAAATGAATGAGAAGAAGCCCACCTGGATTTGTCCTGTGTGTGACAAAAAAGCTGCCTGCAAAAGTCTAATATTAGATGGGCTTTTTATGGAAATTCTCAATGACTGTTCTGATGTGGATGAGATCAAATTCCAAGAAGATGGTTCTTGGTGTCCAATGAGGCCGAAGAAAGAAGCTATGAAAGTATCCAGCCAACCATGTGCAAAAATAGAAAGTTCCAGTGTCCTCAGTAAACCTTGTTCAGTTACTGTAGCCAGTGAGACAAGTAAGAAGAAAGTGGATGTTATCGACCTAACAATAGAAAGCTCTTCTGATGAAGAGGAAGACCCTCCTGCCAAAAGGAAATGCATCTTTATGTCAGAAACACAAAGCAGCCCAACCAAAGGACTACTCTGTGCCATTCCACCACACGCCAGTATCAAGCATGTCATCAGATTTGCCAGGAGAACAAAGAAGAAATGCTATAAATAATGAACTGCAGCTTGGAACATCTTCTGATACTGTGCAACAGTGAATACAAAATAAAACATATAATTTGTATTTATGGAGTGGAAAACAGCTTGATTATTTCAAGAAAAAAATATGACTGCCTTATTATTGCTAGTGCCATATTGTCAGGTGCGAATGGTGCTAAAAAGTTGTGTCGTTAAAATTTGAAAGTGCTAAAACAATTACATATTTAATCATGTAGCCATTATGTTTTGTGAAAGTCTATGGATCAAGTAAGGAAAAACATGTTGTGATCAATGAGGAAAAAATCTAAATGAGTCAGTTTCACTTAATGAAGTATTTAAAATTCAAAAATTATAATTTTATCACTGTTAATAAATCAAGCATTTAGACTGTACCTTGAGAATTTTTAACACTAGTGGCTTTTTAGTTGAAAATAATTGGGTATTTTTCAACTATGAAATTCTTAGGTTAAAAAGTATATCAGTATGTATGACAGTTGAAACTTACAGTAAAATTAGGAACTAGCATTTTGTGACACTTTTAAAAATTAATAAATTTTAATCACTATTGCTATCACTTTATTTCATGACTTTTAATCTACTTAAAATATAAAATGTAAGATTTTGATGATACAATTTTTTTATTAGAAGAAATAACATCTGAAATACTATATCAGACTGCACTGTTTGGGGCAAAGTGGCTTCTTTGAGAAATACATTAAAACCTCATTGGACTTTGAATTGACCACCTGTGTAATGTTTGAATGACAATCTAGTTTCAACCAAAATTTTAGAAAAATGTGTATTATGTCATTGTGTAAGTCACCATATTTTAGTTATCCCTGGGTATTATGAAAAGATACAGATGAAGTAAATCTCTTAAATCTTTTTCTAAATAGACTATTTGTTGGCACATGTAAAACCATCAAAGAGAATTGCAACGTGTCTGAAGAGCTGGATATTTTAAATAAGTAAAGTCTTTGGACTTCAGTGCATATCCTTAAGTGATAGAGCTTCAAAAACAGTTTGAATATTATATTAATCCTGTGTTTATTTAAATTGAAATTAATGAATGGAAGTAGTTGAACATCTAGAAAATGAGTGTTTTCAAGTGACTTGTACACACTATTCCATCAGAGATGTCAATACTTTAGCTGTATAAAAACTTTCAGTTATTAAAATTGATTGAAAAATATTAAATGTAATGGAAATATGAAACTAAAAATGTATTTAAAAGTAGAAGCTACTATAAAAATGAAGATAATGTTACACCATTTGAAGCAAAGCAAAATCTTTTTGACTTAAAAATACTGGCTATCTAAAATTTTCAGAAAGTATGTGAGGGCTATATAGATTTTGAATTACTGTTCAGGAGAAGCAGGGATAAGATTTAGTGAACATTATCCTTAATGTGAAGCAAAGTACACTGCTTGAGAGACATCACTTGCCCACTACCAGCTTTTTGAGGATGCTCTTGAAAAAGCTCATTGTGGTTCCCTTTGTCCATTGGTGGCTCCAAATACTGTATCATATAGCTAGTAGTAGGTATATGAAGTAAACATGTATAGCAACAATTTTTTAAGATGCTTTAGAAATTGTTTTCATACGATTGGTGCTAAAGTTTGTATCACTTGATAATCATTTAAATGTCCTTATTTAGAGATTATAAGGGAATAAATATAATTTGAATTTTGGATGTTAAAAAAAAAAAAAAAAGAAAAATCACTTCTATAACTTCAGAGGAAAAAAGGATTTACTTTGGGTCAGTTTCCTAAGTTCCAGTTTTTTGGTCAACTTATTTATTTCTTGTAGTCCTGGGACAAAGCGCAAAAAGGAACAGAGGAGTACATGGTGAAGCAAAACTTTTCAACCTCATTTCATCCCAGGGGGGAGAGTGTGACAGAGAGAGAGACAGGGTGTAAGGAGGACAGCAGTGCACCATTCTGGAACAGAATCCCAGTGTCCTTCCTCCAGTACATCGATAAACTAATCTGAGAAGATGAGACTCTGCACTGTGCACTTAGCCTCAAAACTACCAAGCAGCTTGCAGTGAGACCGTTAGAGCATGACATTTAGAGGTCATTTTACTAAATGTTGAAATGCATAGAAATGGTGGGTTTTATTCATAGTACAGGATATTAGTCTCAACAAGAAGGGTTTCCTGCAGTTTATGACAACATGAATTAACTTGGAAATCATTAAATAAAACATTCCAAACATGGAAAACTACACAATCATCACCTTGTACTTAGTGCCTAGAATCCTCAACCTAACAGGAGAGAGTTTAATGATAATTGCAATGTGTGAGTATTTAAAAATGAGATGTTAGTGAAAAGGTACAGTGTTTCGCTGGTGTAGTGCAGCCTCTAATGAACGTGGGATGTGTGAACAAATGAACAAACAAGGCAGAGCCCACTTGACAGGCTTTTGTGATCACAGCTGGGCATGTGGTTTAATGCCTGGGTGCAGGCAGACAGAAAGCAAAAAGACTTTGTGTAGGGAACAAAGAGAAGTGCACCCCTTTTATAGGGATGGAAAGAAAGCAGGGGATGTTAGGGGGAAGATTTTAATAAACATCCAAGGTCAGAGTTCTCTGGTTGTCTTTCACCTCAGTTGGCAAGGTCCTTGAAGATCCGATGTAAATTTTGAGGTGTCTCCAGATGTCCTCATGACCCACAAAATTTCTTGACCTATCTTGTCATCTTTACAACATCCTGTGCTTGCCAATGACAGCTTTGGTGCTGAGCTGAGTTCCCTGCTGAGAATAGTGCCTCTGCTGGCAGGCAGGTTGCAGGCTGGGAGAGTCAGGTCTGATTGGAACCTTACATCACCAGCTTCTGGAGATCTCAGGACACAGGGGATGATACAGTATTTCATATAATTCTGAAATTGTGCAGGGTATTTTGTACCATATTTACCACATACACTAACTAGACAGGATTTGGGAAGCATTTTGCAATACACACGTTTGGACATTATCAGGGACCTGACCAAGATCCCCAGCTGCCTATTTGAGGGATATGGCAAGGGATAAAGAAAAAACAGAAACAAATTTAGTAATTCATATAAAGAGGAGCTAGGATATCAGTGCCTCAGGACAGGCAAAGTCAAAGATCGTCCAGCTCACCACTATTTTATTAGCCAGTGCCAGGGGAGGGTTAGGGTGCTTTTCCTGGAATAGCTTTGAAATAGTGGTGGGATGAAGCAAGATCCATCCCTCATGCCTGGGTCCTAGCCCTCCCTGTATTGTCCTCAGCAGACCTCATTCTGTCCTGTGAGCCCCACAGCCTCAGTGATCATCAGGATGTCAGCAGTGACCTGGAGAAAGCAGGGTTTTTTATATTCCAAAACCTGCCCACAAGGCAGGGCAAGGAGGGCCTGAGACAGATTCTTCGTCAGTTTGTAGTTGTGGTCCCCAGCAGGACATACTGTGTCCGTTTTTGTTAGTACACATTTACATTGCAGGAAGTTTACAGTCATCGTGGGGTACATGTACATACACAGCTCGATTCCTTTCTAACCCCTTTCCTCCCACCTCCCTCCACCCTCTAAATCCCCTTCCCCCTTGTTTATTTTGTTGATCTTATTTCATGTTTATGACAGAATGTTTACATTTATTGAGGCTAGCTTCCTATACATGGCATATCTTTATTTATTTCACCTTCCCATCTGCAAGAAATCCATCCCCTTGTCTCCTTCTGTCCATCCTTTATTGTGCTTTTCGTTTGTACTTTGCCTTACTCAAAAGGAGAGATGCTATGCGGTGTTTAAGCTTGTGTGTCTGGTTTATTTTATTTCTCAAGTGCACCCATTTTCTTTCAAATATCTCTAATTTTTCTTTCTTTATAACTAAGTAGTATTCCATAATGTATAGATATCATTTTTTTAATTCAATCATGTTTTGATGGATATACAGGGTTAGCTGTTTTGAACTGTGCTGCTATAAACATTGGTTGGCATGTATTGCTGTAGGGTGATGTTTTTAGCTCTTTGGGAAAGATACCTAGAAGGGGTTAGCTAGCCGGGTCATATAGGATTTCTAATTTTAGTTCTTTGAGGCGTTTTCATACTGATTCCCATAGAGCTTGTATTAGTTTACATTCCCACCAACAACGGAGGAGAGTTCCTTCTTTACCACAGACGTACCAGCATTTGTTTTGTGACTTCTTGATGACTACCATTATTTTCTGGTGTAAGACAGGATCTTAGTGTTGTAACTTGCATTTCTCTAATGCCATGATGTGTCAAACTTTTTTCTGTATTTGTTGGCCATTTGTACTTCCGCCTCTCTGAGTGTCTGTTCATTTCACTTACCCATTTCTTGATGGGGTGTTTTATTTTAGGCAGTCCAATTTTTTAAATTCTTTATACACTCTAGATATTAGCCCTCTGTCTGAGGAATAGCTGGCAATTTTTTCCCAGTCTGCTGTATTGATGCCTTTGCTATGCAGAAGGTTTTTAATTTGATATGATCCCATTTGTTGATTCCTGCTGTTGTTTCTTGTGAAGTTGCAGGTTTTTTAGGAAATCCTTTCCTACAACTATGTGTGACTTCAAGTGTTCTACTATTAAACCTTTTTAAAAATTATTATAGTAGTACATGTTTCTAGTGTATGCATTTTACTGTCATCTTGAGGAATGGGTACATGTACATAATGCAACTTGTTTCCTTTTAAATTCTCTTCCCCTTCCCTCCCTTCCTCCCCCTCTCCCTCCTTCTCTAATTCCACTTTCCCCGTTTTCATTTTTGTTGATTTTACTAATCTTGGTTCATGTTTATGGGATATAATGTTTATATTTATTGAGGTTATCAAGTACCTGTAACATGGCAGATCTTTTTTCTAGTTATTTCTTCTTCCCTTCCTGCTCATACTCGGTCTGTTGGATTCCTTTCCATTTGCAAGAAATCCATTACCTTGTCTCCTGTCAATTTTCTGTTGTGCTCTTTGTTTGTACTTTGCCTCACTCAAATGAGAGATATCATGTGGTATTTAGGCCTATGTGTTTGGGGTTTTTTTTTGTTTGTTTGTTTTCTGATCTGGGGTCTCTGTATGCCATTTGGGTTGGACTTGAACTCACTATGTAGCTCAGGCTGGCCTCAAACTCGCAGCCATCCTCCTGCCTCAGCCTCCCAAGTGCTGGGATTACAGGCATGTGCCACCACACTTGGCTCAGGATTTAGCTATTACCGATTGTGCTGCTATGCCAGGTGTGGTGGCACACACCTTTAATCTCAGCACTCCAGTAGCTGAGGCAGGAGGATCACTGTGAGTTCAAGGCTAGCTTGGGCTCCATAGAGATGCCCCCCAAAAAACAAAAATAAGAACAGCAAGTTATGCTGCTATAAACATTGGAATACATGTATCCCTGTAGTACAGTGTCTTAAGCTCTTTGAGAAAGATACCTAGCAGAAGGATTGCTAGGCCATATGGAATGTCTGATTTCGGTTCTTTGAGAAATCTCAACACTGATTTCCATAATGGTTGCACTTGTTTCACATGCACACCAACGATGTAGCATTCCTTCTTCACCATAGCCTCGCCACCTTCCCCACCTTTTGTTATTTTTTTGAGGTCTTGATGATTTCCATTCTCTCCAGGTGAGTTGGAATGTTAGCATTGTTTTAATTTGCATTTCTCCAGCGGCTAGAGATGTTGAACACTCTCCTATTCGCTGGCCATCTGTATTTCTTCCTTCTACAGTGTCTCTGCATTTCCCTTGCCCATTTCCTGGTTAGATCTTTTGTTTTAGGTGGTCTAATTGTTTTGGGTTCTGTATATATTCTAGATATATATACATGTCTGAGTAGAAGGTGACAAAGTTTTTTTTTTCCTTTGTTTTTTTTTTTGGTCTTTTTTGAGACAGGTTCTCAGTATGCAGTTCAGGCTGGCCTTGAGCTCACTTTGTAGCCCAGGCTGGTCTTGAACTCACCATGATCCTTCTACCTCAGCTCCTGAATGCTGAGATTACAGTTTTTTTCTCTTCACTCTCTTCAGTTTTTCAAAAAATTGATTCCCTTGCTGTACAGAAGCTTTTCAATTTGATACAATCCCATTTGTTGATTCTTGCTTTTATTTCTTGTGCAATTGCAGCTTCATTTAGAAAATGTTTTCCTACCCTTATGGCTTTGTTTTACCTCCTGTATCTTCCATTAGCTTCACAGTTTCTGCTTTAATGTTTACACTGCTGACCCATTATGATTGTAGGTTAGTATATGGTGAGAAATGGGGCTCCAGTTTCAATCTTGTGCAAATAGATATCCTGTTTCCCCAGTAACATTTGTTGATTGGGGTATCATTCGTCCAACATAAGCTTTTGGCCTTTCTGTCAAAGATCAAATAGCTGAAGGTGTCTGGAGATGTTTCTCAATCCTCTGCTCTGTTCCACTGATCTATAGATCACTTTTTCTTCCAGTACCGTTCCATTTTTATCACTGTTGCTTTGTGGTACAGCTGGAATTCAGATACCGTGATGCCTTCTGCTTTGCTCTTACTGCCCAATATTGCTTTTACCATCCTATGTCTCTTCTGGCTCCATATGAATTTTAGAACTGTTTTCTTTAGATTATGAAATGTGCTGTTAGTATTTTGATTGTGGAGTGCATTGAATCTGTATAACAGTTCTGGGAGCATGGCCATATTGACAATATTGACACTGCCTGTCCAGGAACACGGAATATCTTTCCATTTTCTGATGTCTTCTCCAACCTCTTTTTACAGAGTGTTGTTTTTGTTTTTGTAGAAGTCTTCCATTTCATTGGTTTCATTAATTCCTAGTTATTTAATTATTCTTGCTGCTACCATGGATAGTATTGTTTCAATAATTTGCTTGTCATTGAGTTCACTATTGGTGTACGCAAATGCTATTGATTTTTATGTGTTGATGTGGTATCCTGCTACATTGCACAGTTTATTAATCTTAAGAGCTTTTCAGAAAAATTCTTTGGGTCTTTTATGTGGAGAATCATGTCATCTGCAAGTAATGATACTTTGAGTTGTTTTCCATATATAGTGCCTTTATTTCTATCTTTTGCCTGATTCCTCTGGCTAATGTTTTGAATGTGATGTTGAATAGAAAAGGTGATAGAGGCCACCCTTGTCTTGTTGCTGATTTTAGAGTGAATGCCTTCAGTCTTTCCCCAGTTAATGTAATATTGGCCATTGGCTTGTCATAAGTTGCTTTTAACAAGTTCAGATATGGTTCTCTCATACCTACTTACCTCCTGTCTCTTATCATAAAAGAGTTTTGGATTGTATTCTGAGATTTTTCTGCATCTATTTGTGATCATGTGATTTTGACCTTGTTTCTGTTCATGTGATATATTACATATTTGGATTTGCATATATTAAATCATCCTTGAATCTCTGGGATGAGACTTACTTGGTCATGATACATGATCTTTTTTATCATATTTTTTGTATTGCCTTCTATTCACAAATACCTTGTTGATCATTTTTGCATGTATGTTTTCATTAGGGAGATTGGTCTATAGTTTGTAAGTCTTTAACTGATTTTGAAATCATAGTGATGCTTCCTTAAATGAATTGGAAAGCACTCCACACCTTTCAGTTTCTTTGAAGAGCTGGAGTATAGGTGATGTCACATCCTTAAAGTCTTCGTGGAATTCAGCAGGTAACCCATCAGGTACTGGGCTTTTTTATTTGGTAAATCGTTTATTATTATTTTGGTTCCATTGTTTGTTATTGACTTGTTCAGCGTTCTTATATTTTCTTGAGATACCGTTGGTAATTTATATGAGTGTAGAAACCTGTCCATTTCTTCAAAATTTTCTAATTTGTTGAAATACAACATTTCATACTAGTTAATGTCTTCAAGATGTTGGTGCTCTCATGATTTTGCCTTTTTCATTTTTAACTGTAAAGATATTTTTTCTCTTGGTAAATTTCACTAAGGGCTCATCTATTTTATTATTCTTTCAAAGAATTGGATTTTCAATTCATTGATTCTTTATATTTTTATCTCAGTTTCATTCATTTTCACTCTAATCTTCATAATTTTTCTTAATTTCAGTTTGGCTCTGAATTATTATTTCTCAAGTATTTTAAAATGTCTCATGAGGGCATTTATTTGAGCGCTTACTCTGTTTTCCTAATGTCAGTATTCATTGCAAAAAAATTTTTCCTCTTAGATCTGCTTTCTTAGTGTCTCAGAGGTTCTGGTGAATAATACAGGCATTGTCATTAAAATTCCGTAAATTATGAAACTTCTTCTTTGATTTCTTCTATAACCTATTGGTTGTTTGGTAGTATGTTATTAATTTTTCAGGTGTTTCTCCATCTTCTGTGATTTCTTCTTGGTTGATTTACATTTTTGTTGTACAGTAGTCTGATGGTACACACGGGCTGATTTTGATGTTTTATATTCATTTAATCTGGCTGGGTGGACTACTAGCAGATCTACCGTGGACAAAGTACCATGTGCTATAGAAAAGAATTTATACTCTTGTAGTGGGGTTGAATATTCTCTACACATCTATTAAGTCTATGTGCTTAAGGTTGTGCTTCAGCGCTGATACTTTGTTCTTGATTTTTTCTTTAA